GGCGTTCCCTGCAGCTGGCCACATCTGCCGGCCTCGCCTCGCAGATGCCCCCAGGGGAGAGCCTCTGAGGTCTTCCTCCCGCTGGAGTCTGACGGCCACAGTGGCTCCCAGCCCAGCAGCTTACATAATCTGACAAGGACCAGATGTTGCTCTCCCCCCACCCCCTCCCGCGTCCCAGGGTGACATCGGACACACCCCTCCCTCCGTTTTCTGGTGCAAAAAGCCACGGGGTCCCAGAGCCACCAGCACTGGGTTTGGCTTCCCAGGAGAATTGCTGTGTGACCTCCACAACTCTCTCACCATCTCTGAGCTACCTCTGTGTTGCTCAGAGCCTCCCTAACTTGCTGAGGCTGGCCTCCAACTCTCGATCCTCCTGCCTCAGCCTCCGGAGCTGCTGGATGACAGGCGTGCCCCATGGCACCCAGCTGAGAACTTCCTTCTTTTTCAAAGCCGAATAATATTCCAGCTGGGGCCACACCGCGGTTCTGCCTCCTCCGCGGGTGGATTCCCACCCCCTTTTCCCAAAAAAATTTAGGAACAGAGTCACCAAAAGTTTAGGCTTACCCCCTGGCTTTAGGAACAAAGCTTGACCCAGCAACTCCTGACTTTATTAAGGACCCTGTTGATATCGCTGTCATTTTTAGGGTCTATCTCAAGTCCCAGGGCCTGCCCAGAAGGTCCCCTCAGAGTCGCAGAGGGTGGTCACAGTTCCAGACCTGGTCCTCTCCCCGGCTCCCTGAGCCACCCAGCGGCGGAAAAGGGAATTGCAGGAGGGAGAGGTTCTGCTCCGCCCCCTCCAACCCCTTCGGACAGCCCCTCGTGTCTCATTGGCTAGCCCGCGCAGCCATGAGCCAATCACAGTGGCCAGGGCTGGGTTATGCTGATTAGGTGGGAGGAGCCACATGCCACGCCTCCCTCCGGTCTCTGCTGCCTGCAGAACCGCCCTAAGCCCCCCAGGTCCACGTCTCGTCCTGGTCACTTGCTTGGGCGCCCCCCAGGCCCATGTCCCTCCAGTGTCACGCGTGCTGCTCCACAGATCCCTCTCTCTCTTGGGCTCAGAGGGCCATTCAAGTGCCCTTGAATGGGTCTTGTGTCCACTGTGGAGCCTGAATCCTGGACCTTGCTGCAGCTGGTCCCGAATGGTCACTGTGACCTCCCTGCGGTGCCCAGGGCCACCTCCGGGCTGCCTGCCCTGCGCCTCGAACCAGGGGATATTTTCATTTATTGATTTAAAATAGAGAGAGAGAAGCTTCACGGGCTCAGCCTGTCCTCTCAGCAGCTTGGGAGGCTGAGGGAGGAGGATCACAGGTTGGAGGCCAGCCTCATCCACTTAGCAAATGAGTGACATCCGCCTTCTCCATGGATGTGGCTCAGTTGTGGCCCGCGGGAGGCTGACTCCCCAGGAGCAGCAGAGGCTGCGCCCTCCTGCCAGCCTCTCCTCCTTCTCAGTACCCGGGTCTCTCCTCCTGCCGGCAGGTCACAGGGTCCCCAGCTGTCAACGCCCCCTCAAGGCAGCCCAGAGCCAGGAGTCCAGAGGGGTGGCCCCGAGGAGACTGGGACCAGAGCCACGGCCACCGCTCCAGAGCCAGGCTGGCAGGCAGAGAGCAGAACCCTGGATGAAGGTCTGTCCCCTGTGCCCAGTCTGGCTCTCAGGTCACAGGACTCTCAATGTTGGTGACCCAGGCTCAGGCTGGGGACTTCCTGAGCTCCAAGGGACCCCTTTTCCCGAAGCCCCTCACCACAAAAATCTTGACCTTAAGAATAAGTGGGTGGCCAGGCGCGGTGGTGCCCGGATGTCATCCCAGGGGGTCGGGAGGCTGAGGCAGGAGGATTGAAAGTTGGAGACCGGCCTCAACCATTTATCAGTCCCAGGCTCTGCGGAGCCCGGCCCAGCTCCCGAGGGATGGTCTCAGCCTCCCCTGACTGAGGGGGCCACAGGGCTCGCTGGTCCCCACCCTCCGGGGTCCCATGTCCCTGAATCTCGTGTCCCCCGCCACCCCCAGTGGACGAACAGCTGTTCCGCTCCGTGGAGGGCCAGGCGGCCTCTGATGAGGAGGAGGAAGAGGACGAGACGTGGCGGAGGCAGAAGAGGCCACCAGAGGCCCGGGCCGAGTGGCCCTCCGGCTGTCAGGGCGGGTACGTTGTGGGGGGACACCAGGTGGGACTGTGAGGGGTGGTCCAGGAAGCCCAGAGCCTGTGGAGGGCAAGGGACCCAGCTTCAGTGGGAAGGCCCTGGGGACACCCGTGGAGGAAGTCAGCAGGGCCAAGTGACAGCTGGAACCTAAGGAGCTGAGGATCGAAGCCACCTGTCCTCCCAGGGGCTCGGGAGGCTGAGGCAGGAGGATCACAAGGTGGAGGCCAGCCTCAGCCACTTAGTGAGGCCCTGAGCCACTCAGCGAGACCCTGTCTCTAAATAAAATAGAAAAAGGGGCTGGGGACAGGGCTCAGGGGTCAAGTGTCCCTGGGTTCAGTCCCTGGGACGGTGCAAAACTCGAGGCATCTGGAAATTAGGAAGCAGCAAGATGGTTGTTCTCTGGTCCTGGACTTGTTTTAGGGACTGTCACAGAAACAGAGAAAGCAGGGGACGAGGGGGACAGGGGACGCTGGGGCCATTTGAGCAAAGCACTGAAGGGAATGAGGGAGTCGCCCTCAGAGGCCATGAGGGAAGGGCATTGGG